TGCTGAGGAGTGTGAGGGCAGCGAGCCCCCCGGTCTCATCCTACACCCGTTCACATGCTCTTGTCGGACTGTGCTGATACAAACACCACACTTAGGGGGTGCCTGGCGGCTTGGTCGGTTAAAGGGGCCGACTCTTGGTTTCGGCTCAGGTCATGATCTCAGGGTCCTGGGACCGAGCCCCGTGTCAGGCTCCCTGCTCTGCGGGGAGTCTGCTTGACATTCGCTCTCCCCCTGTTCCTTCCCCCCCAAATACCACACTTACACCTGAAGCACAAGCTTTTAAATTAGACCACGATTCAGTCCCAGTCTGTGTTTTGTAACGTGGAGCTCAGATGAATAGAAAAACATTCAAAATTCAGGAGTTTAAACAAAAATAATAACAAAGTTAAGGTTTTATGTTCATCTACATAAGCGTGGTGAGTGTGATTTTTCATTTCAGTGACTTTCACATGCTACAATAAATAGATTTTTATGTCTGTAAAGGTTTTGATAGTTTAGAATTTCCATTTTCCAAAGCCTTGTTGTAACAAAAGGGTAGTGTGTTAGTTCATCCACCGGCAAATGTGGCTGTGGCCATGCCGGGAACGCGGACCCTGTCTCCTCTCCACACCATCCTCCGAGCAGCGGAGCTGAGGCACGTGCGTCTTCGAGGAGCCTTGTGTGAAGGAGACAGGGGCTGGGACAGGAAGCCGGGCTCCTGTCTGGGACCAGCAGGGAGGACGGAGGTGCGGGCTGCGGTGACGTCCATGAAAGCTTCGCTCGGGCATTGGGAGCCCCCGGGGCAGGGCTGCTGTCGGGGGAACTCTCCGTCCCCGCAGAGGGGGCCTGCGCTGGTCCGTGGCACCGGTGTGTGGCCTCGGTGTGCCGAGCCCAGGGGCATCTGCTGCCGCGCGGGCACCACCGCGTGTCACACCTGCAGGGCCATGCCCGTCAGCTGTGTGTCCCCAGCACCCACGCAGCCACGTGTGGGTTACAGCGGCAGTGCTCTGGCAGGCTGCTTCCCGGGCCGCCCTCCCTGCCCCCGCCCCGCGAGGCCATCCGGTGCTTGGCAGCCCGTCACTGCTGGCTCTCCTGCCCGCAGTCCTGCCCCTTCAGCACCAGGATCCGAGCGCGCAGCCTCCGCTCCCAGCCTTGTCGTTCCTACTAACTGCGACTGCGTGGCCCCGCCCCCCCGCCCGTGCCCACTGCTTCATTCACACTCCTGCCAGCCAGCCCTTTGTCTAGAAAACCTCCGCCTCCTCCTGACACTTAAGCCACTTTCCCCACAAGTGATTCTGTGTTCTTTCGGGATGTTTCTGTGACAGCGCTTGAAGCACGTGTATCCGTCTGTCTCTGGGGTCTAGCTGCAGTTCTGGGGGCGGGCTCCTCCTACCCCTCAGCACCTGCGGTCCGGGGGGGTCGTGCTCCCCCTACTCGTAAGCACCTGCAGTCCCAGGGGGCGGGCTCCCCCTACTCAGCACCTGCAGTTCCGGGGGCGGGCTCCTCCTACCCCTCAGCACCTGCAGTCCCAGGGGG